GGAGATGCCAGACAGGGCAAGATATGACAAAATAATAATTTATAAATTATCAAGGGCTCATGAGGGAGGTGGGAACAGGGAGGGAGGGGTAAAAATGAGCTGATGCCAGGGGCTTAGGTAGAGAGCAAATGTTTTGAGAATGATGAGGGCAATGAACAAATGTGCTTTACACAATTGATGTATGTATGGATTGTGAAAAGAGTTGTATGAGCCCCTAATAAAATGATAAACAACAACAACAACAAGAAAAATAGCTGGGTTTTGAACTGGTTCTTCTTGGTTCTGTCATGGCCAAAGAAGCACAACTAGAAATTTGCAACCCGTGGGTGCCTGGAATGATAACCAGAATGGGAAAATTATGGGCTAATTCCCAGGGAGAAACTTAATCTCTCTCTTAGATAAGCAGGGCAGTGGGCATATCACATAGCAACCAAATCTCTTACATGACAGATTCTGAAAAATTGGCGCCCTGCTCACAAATGGCAGACAATTGCATCACTTTGAAGGTGTGTTGCTCTCCACACTCTGGCAATAATTCAACTTCCTACACACGTCTCTTCCAAGTCTCCTGTTCTAATGCCCAAACCTATCAATTGTGCTCCCTTCCAGTTGCCATACTAGGCGTGCACATTTGGCAAATTCCCGGCTGTCCCAGTTCGTGCTCCATTGACCATGGCAGAACCGATGTGAACTGAGTCAAAGCCCTACTTAACAATGGCACGACATTCAGAGCTCAGGATATATTTTCCACGGAAAACACCCAGCCTGGCCTTTTCCTAAAGCAGAAAGTGTAGCCACACCTAAGTAACGGGATCTAATTAAATTCGTGTTTTTCAGGCCAGTTAAAGGTGATGGAATGTTTTTCATTCTAATGAGTTAGGCCTTTGCAATGGTTGGTCAATTCGCCTCTTTCCAAGAGGCATCTCAAGACCATTCAGGCCAGTCCTTGATTTTTCTCATGGACTGCATGACATTGTGTGAATGTCTGTCTTCCCCTGCTGCGCCCTCGTCACTAAGAAACAAGGCTGTGTATGTAGTTAGTGCTAAATGCATACTGGTGAACTGACTGTTGCTGGTCAACAGTGAACTGGTGAAACCACCTCGTTGCTGTGATGTGAGAGGTCATCCTCATGTAAAGACACATGCCATGGCCATCCATGACATTACTGCCATCATATTTGTAAGCACAGTGATAGAAATATGGCCAAATGAGCCTTTCCAAGGGTCAAGCACCTTTTCCAAAGGCGTCACTGCTACCTAGTGGCACAACTACGTGTATGTACACCAATAACATTTTCTTCGACTCCCTGCTCGTTCAATCATGATGCTGACGGAAGAACTCACAGCTTGCCCAGGTAAACAAGGAAGAGAATCCTTTGAAAATGATGACGGCGGCATATGTGCAAATGTGCTTGACACACCGAAGAAATGTATGTATTTTGATAAGAGATGTAAGACCTCCAATAAACATATTTTTCAAAAAATTATCAGGTACATAACTTAATTGGAAAATTAAACTTCAAAAAGAAATTGTTAGAGTCAAAGTAATTTTGGAATAAGGGTAGAAATTAAAAATCACTGCAGACCCTGAAATGGAAGGTTCTCATTAATTCCAGAGTAGATGAGAGCCATAAATAATAGGCATTTTGGGGGGTGATTCTATTAAAAACAGAGCCAGTCAGGATTCAGAGCTGATTCTATAAATGAGGCTCCTTAGCTACTAATGACTTTATTTCAATGCCTTGTTCTACATGTAACAATTATGTACCATCAGAAGATAGGTATAGAAAGTGAAAAATATTTTGATTAAATGTACTTTGCTTACCAAAAAAAATGACATCTCAATTATCACCAAAAGAATAAATAAAGAAAAAGTCAAAGGATAAAGCAGACGGAAGATTCCCTAGCTCCATATCAAATTCAGTTAGGTAGAATGATATCCACCAGAGGGTACGGGGAAGATGTTTCATCAGTTAAATGTTCTTTCTCCTTACTAAAAGGGCTCTGATGGTGTAGTGCAGTGGTTCTCAACCTCCCTAATGCCGCGACCCTTTAATCCACTTCTTCATGTTGTGGTGACCCCCCCCCTTCAAATTATTTTCGTTGCTACTTCAGCACTGTCGTCTTGCTACTGTGATGAATCAGGCGGCCCCTGTGAAAGGGTCCTTTGACCCACAAAGGGGTCACGACCCACAGGTTGAGAACCGCTGGTGTAGTGGGTTATGTGTTGGACTACTAACTGAATGGTCAGCAGTTCAAAACCACCTGCTGTCCCACAGGAAAAAGATGAGGCTTTTAAACTCAAATATTTAGTCTTGCAAACCCACAGGGGCAATTCTATAGGGTCACTGTGAACTGGAATGGGCTCAAAGGCAGTGAGCTTGGTTTTTCCCTGTGGATTAAACATCACAAGGGCCATCCACCCAACAGGTGCATTTCTACACTTCACCTTCAACGAGCACGGATGTGATGGAGGTTTCTATTGGTACCATACCTAGAGTGTCACATGGTTCATTCTTCCAGGAGCAAATATCAATCCCCGTCAGTAAAATGGCATGGTCATGCCTCTTGCCATTCTTCCCCACGAGGGCAGACTGCCATTGGCAAAAACTATTCAGAGACTGGTCTGCATGGTGATTGATCAACAATCCTGCCTGTGGGAAATCCACACAAGTCAGAAATGGATTTGTTAGCAATGAGCACGAGGGATCATGGGTACAGGCAAACACAGAAACATCCTGTTTCTAGGGAGAGAGGTCAGTAGACGAACACGCTTGGCTGGAGACAATTTGTAAAAATGTCCATTTTACGTAAATGCTCATAATATTCGAATCACCTTCAACTGTATTTCTCCCCCAAATAGGCATGGCTGTAGTTTTTACAAACAGCATGCCCATGTAAAATAACACACTTACGCATATAGAACAATGCATGAAGGGAGGAAGTGTGCTTGGCTCCCCCAAAACCACATAACACACATTCGCTGAACTGCAATATGGTGTGTTCAGAACTCCGTCTACATGACACACTGGCCCCACTCACAATTAGAATGTAACAAACTGCTTGCGATACAGCACAACTGCTTCCTCAGCGTCTGCAAGAGACCCGCGCTTATTTGTAACTCATTCATGATTGCCAGCACGGGGCAGCCCCATCCTAGAGTCCGATGAATTAATCAATGGGTGAAACAAAAGCTCGCTGAATGGGAGCATAAAATAATTGCTAATGAGACTCCACAGGCAGCACAGGCCCTATGCTTAAAATAATCACTTATCGAAGGGTTCACTTCAACCTATTGACTACGGTCAAGTTGAGGGCTCCCAGACAAGATCTTTAATTATCAGTGAATTAGGCTGCCACTGGCTTTGATGTCCCGGGGCAAGGTATAAGTAGTAATTTAACACCACCGTGTCTCTCCACCCCCACGGACACACACCCGATCTTTCTGAAATTCCAAGAATAATTGGACAAGTTCTTAACCTCTGTAGCTCTACACACCTGGGCAATTAGATTACTTTTGTCTTGTTTTGGACTCCCTCCTTTGTTCATCCCTCTTCAGGGACAGATGCAGAGGAAAAGCCTCGGGGGGAACTTCAAGAGTCTGCTCGGTGGCTAATTCCCACCCTTCACCCAAAACACCATTTCAACATCAAAACACTGTGGGGCTATGAAAGCGAACACTCTATTCTAGGTCCTGGCTCTATCATTCACCCCATGCTTTTGTCTTGCCCCTCACTGTCATGGGTTCACGAGCAGCTAAACAGCCCTGGTCTGTTCTCCTCCCGAGGGCCTAAAATGCTGCTGGGGATGGAATGGGTTTCCTACATGAATTTTCAGATGACGCATTTTCGTCGACTTTCCGAATCTCATTCGGTACCTGCCTGCCATTACGCAGTGCAGCCAGCTTACAAAGTTTAACTGAGACCAGATGCATCTCATTAATGAAGCCTACCTACATCTATCTACACTTTCCTTGCATAATGACTGGATCGTCTTTGGACTTATACATGCACATGACTACTTTACCTGTAAATAGATATATCGATATCAGCACAGATACACATCTATGTTATGTTGTACTGTTTTACTTAGTTGTCTACACGGCCCTATTCGATTGTATCTTCCTGGAGACTAGGGTTCGGGTTCACATATTCTCAGAACTGAATTTCCCAAGCACGAGTATGGGGAGTCGTGACACAAGGTAGGTGCTCACTAAACACATCCTGCGAGACAAAAGACGTGAGGAAGTAAATGAAGTTCACCACCTACAGGTTCTTGTTCCAGAAGAATGAGGCTCACCACAACAATGTTGATGTCATTTCCAATGGTCCCATCTTTAAAAAGGCTGGACACCTGTTGGGACAGGTATTTTTGTTGTTGCTATGGTTTAGTAAAAGAAAATGAACAGACTCAGACTTTCCAAAACTGTTTCAAGGAAACCAATGAGACATAGTTAGAGGTATATGGGTTTCCGTTTCACCAAAAGCACCCACATAGGACACGAATTTCCTTCAAACTCAACCCAGCCCCCTCCCCAATAACATCATGTGACTGCACCTGCTATGCAGTCTGAGCAAGGGAATTCCATGATTTTAACTGCTCTGGAGTGGCAGACAAATTGGAATCATGGCACCCCCTTACCATGTTCATGACTGTGAGGATGTATGTGGTCACGTTTCCCTTGCCATGTCTGTCCACCATTTTCTTGTCTGCTACCACGAGGGTCTCCACAGTCAGACCCTGTTGTGACTTCCCAGCTGACCGTCTGGGCCGTCCTGAGCGCCCGTATTCTTCAAGGTGGAGATAGGCGTCCTCTGTGGGAGGCTTGGGGGCGTCTGCAATGGACACAAGAGCATGTGGAAGGGCGCTCAAATCTGGGCGAGGCAGAAAGAGAAACTGAGCGGACACAGAAAGTACCAACGCTTCCCCAGTGCACTGCTGAATGACCTTGCAAGCATGTGTCAAGATGTTTTACACGTAGTAGATTGTCAAGAGAGATTTATTGGATGGATGGGTGGATGGATGGATGGATGGACGGATGGACGGACGGACGGACGGACGGACGGGCAGACAATAGTTGGGTGGATAAACACCAAACCAGAACAAACCCATGTCCACTGAGTGCATGTCTGACCCCAAGGATCCTGTAGGACAGAGCAGAATTGCTCCTTAAGGTTTCCAAAACAGAAAGTCTCTATGAGACCAGGCAGTCTCATCTTTCTCCCAAGGAGTGGCTGGCGGGTTAACTCAATGACTCAAGAATGCTCCAAAGTACAACAGAAAATAAGCTACAAGTAATCCTTGGAGTTGGTCAAGAAATGTCAATTTTGTGGAAGGACTCTTTAAAACTTTAAAAAGCTAGTTTTAGGCAAGTGCTCCAACACTAGAAATAGACGTACTTTGAATCTGAATTCCTCACATTGACATATTTGTCTCTGAGCAAACTGAAAGCACTATAAAACATGGGCCATACTTTTGCATGACCTACCACGTTAATGCTACCACTTGTATCAGTCTGTCCTACTGTGGGGCTTGCATGTTGCTGTGACACTGGAAGCCATGTCACTGTAATTTTCAAATGCCAGCAGGGTCACCTCAGGTGAACAGGTGTCAGCAGAGCTTCCAGACTAAGAAGAGACTACAAAGATGGAATATGCCTTCCACTTCTGGGGGATTTACTACTAAAAACCATATGAATTGCAGCAGAGCATTGTCAGATACTGAAAATCTCATGAATAGCAGCCGAATTCTATCAGGCATCTCGCCAAAAGATGGAAGGCATTTAAAATACGACTGAGGAAGAGCTGCCTCCTCAAGGTAGAGTCCATCGTAATGATGGAGAGGGAGTTCAGCGTGCAGGATCTTCATTTGGTGATGGGGCATGACTCCCAAGGAGAAGAACCAGTGGTGACTCTTTATTAATAACTGAACTTGGGATGTCAGAGAAGAAGAGGAGGCCCTTCAAGGAGATGGACTGCCACAGTGGCTACAGCACTGGGCTCAAGCGTAACAATTGTGAGGA